ATTGAACAGGGTCTAGAGGATCCCCTGATCGAGACCTGGCTTCTCAAGAGAGTGTTGAAGGGTGTTCAGCGGTGCCATGGGACCGAGACAGTAAAGCCTAGATTGCCCATAACTATGCCAACTCTAAGGAAATTAGTCGATGCCTGTGATCACCTCCCCGTGTTGCCCGAGCATGACCGAGTTCTCTTCAAGTCTGCTGTGCTGTTGGCATTCTTTGGTTTCCTAAGGTGCTCCGAATTTACAGAGGGCCTTACAAGAGAGTGTATCAGATTTGAGTCGGGCAGCATGACCATCCTGCTAAAGAGATCAAAGACAGACCAATTTGGAAAGGGAGTCCATATTGTCATTGGACCGGCCGGTCGCCCTTACTGCCCTGTGTATGCTATGCTACGCTACCTGGCGATGATTGGCAGTCGAAACGCATCCACTCCTCTGTATGTACTTGCCAAGGGTGTGCCGTTATCCAGAGCTGTTTTCACCAGTACTGTGCGCTTGCTGCTTGAAAAGGCTGCGGTGCCAAACATCGAACTCTACTCGGGGCACTCATTCCGAATTGGCGCAGCTACTACCGCTGCCATGGCAGGGATACCTGATTCGCTGATTTGTTCTGCCGGCAGGTGGCAGAGCGATGTGTGTCTACGCTATATGCGAATTCCAATGGAGACCAAGTCCAAGATCTCGGCTCAGCTTGCCTCAGTGAGTGACCTTATCTGATTCTTTGCACGGACAGTTTATGTTCCATCCCTGAAGTCCTAGCATAGGAATGTCACTGCTCGATAATTTCTTAATGCTGGGCGGGGGGGTTGTTCGGGGATAGTGTTGCTGCTTTGTGGAGCTCTATCGCTCCTAACTGGTCACTTGCTTCGCTAGTTGCGGCTCTTCACGAGCCAGTTGTTGCCAATTGCATTGGCTTTGCCTTGCAACCCCATTGTGGCACAATGTGGGTTTATTGCGGCTCATCGCGAGCCAGTTGCTGCCAGTGGCCTGGCATTGCTTTCCAGCTCTTCGAGCTTTTGCATTACAAGACCAGTTACTCGAAGCAGCACACTATCTCCAAAACAATTCCTTGTTGCCTTGGGCTGAGTATGAGTGTGTGAGGGATATGGTGCTAATGTCGCAGTAATGTAGTTAGTGTGTGTTAGCATCCACCGATCACACTGCCATGTTTGCATCTGCCGCGCACCGCTGCATCGGTGCATTGTGCACTGCACTCACACTGCCAGCGCATAGATTCGGGCACGCTTGGCCTGACGTCACACAACTGCTTCCTTTGAACTTTTGCTCACTGCACTCACACTAGTACACTGCCAGCGCATGGATTCGGGCGCGCTTAGCCTGACGTCGTACAACTGCTTCCTTTGAACTTTCTCTTTCTTTCTTGCTGCTGGCTTCACTTCAAAGACTAGTCTAATTAGTGGTGACTTTTAGCTTGTGCCAGCACCAAATTTTCACCCTCCATCCCTCCCATTTTATCATCTTGCTAATGGTACTATGGAACATTTAGCTCTATCGCTCCTAACTGGTCACTTGCTTCGCTAGTTGCGGCTCTTCACGAGCCAGTTGTTGCCAATTGCATTGGCTTTGCCTTGCAACCCCATTGTGGCACAATGTGGGTTTATTGCGGCTCCTCACGAGCCCGTTGCTGCCAGTGGCCTGGCATTGCTTTCCAGCTCTTCGAGCTTTTGCATTACAAGACCAGTTACTCGAAGCAGCACACTATCTCCAAAACAATTCCTTGTTGCCTTGGGCTGAGTATGAGTGTGTGAGGGATATGGTGCTAATGATGACAAAAAAAGGAGAAGGACAAAATGTTACGAGTTACGACTAACTGTCCAGCAAAGTAACCAGATCTTATACAGTCAGCGAGTGCAACAAAATGGCACAAAACTGACAAGGAGAACTGAGACATTGGGCCAACTGACACCTAGCTCCAACACTTCTCCAAGGCGCAAACCAGCAAACTTCCAACTTGGAAGGCTCAGGTTCGGAAGGTCCAAAGCTGACTGTACATGATCTGGTTACGTTGGTGGACAGTTAGTCATAACTCGTAAAAAAATTGTCCTTCTCCTTTTTTATCATTATTATCATTATTTTGTATTCATATTTCTCTAGGGCAGTCCCAACAGATCCATGGTCTCCTCATGGGGTACCCTAGCCAATCTAGGACTGCGATACGAAATTGACTTGGTGAAGCAGCAAGGCGAGCGTGTTCACTTTGTATCGTGCCCAGGGATGAGCTTACTGTGCTTTTTTTGCATACGAAATCACAATTGTGTAGCAGTCTTTGATTTTGATTAGCATTCTTCTTTGAAGGTTGGGTGTTTACCACATTGTACTTGTTGAGAGTGATGCCTTGAAAGCCCATTTGCAAAAAAACGACCGAAGCATGCATGTTCACGCAGATAGAGAGTACATACCTGCACCACATACACCCGCAGTGTTTGCAGGTTTCCAAGAGTATATACATGTGACCCCCCAAGAGTGTGCAACTCTGCATATGGGGTCTCCGTCGGCGAAAACTCACATCGCGTGTCTCAGATACCTTTGTACTACGTACAAACGTAGGATAGCGTGCGCGCAATCCGAAAATCTGCCGTGATCATGCTGGGGATTTGCATACGTGCAGTGAGTTTCAGTCAGAGAGTGCTTTTTTTAGTACTCCGCTGCTTGCTAAAAAAGGCTGGAAACGTACAACTGCGACACTGCACCACGTGATGTGAGTTTTCGCTGTTGGCGTACCCCATAGAAAGGGTATCAGGAGTTGCACACTCTTGGGGGTTATATACTCTTGATGGTACAAGTACTGGACAGCGCAGGCTAGGCATGGATAGCCTGCATGTATTGCAATTTTCTGCGAGTCACGGTGACTTTTGAGCAGCAATAGACCGATTTTGCATTGCAAACTGCGATGCGATACAGGATATATTCACCCCTGGTGCCGTTTGTGGATTGCAGCAAATGTACACTCAAACTTGTAATTGAAATCACCTGAGAAAAATGTGCTTGAAGTACACCTCTTAAGTGTGGATACTCTCGCACATCAACAGTAGAGTTTCATCACATCCACAATGTTTGTTTAGCAAACCAACTGTGTCACTGTAATACTGATTACATCCTAAATAATTTGGGCCACCGATAATGAATTTTGGCATTATTTTACAGCACATTTGGTATAGAAAAATTGCAGGAGACCAAATCACACTCCCATTGTTTGCCTAGCACAAAATCTGTGTCCGAGCCTCAAACAATAGTTCAAACTCACACTTCTTTAAGATTTATCAGGTTGTCAAATATATTATTTGGAAGGGTTGTAAGTTCATTCCTGTCCAGAAACCTGCATAAACAGACCATAAAATGTGCAGAAAGATTACATGGAAATCACCAGTAAAGTAAAGCTATTATGTCAAATTGATACATTGGAGCTCTTCGCCTGCTACTTCGTAGGTCAAGAATGTGTGAGTGCCATGAGGGCTGCTTCCTACCTGCCTATGGAGATTCACAGGAATCACGAGTTTTGCTCAGTCACTATTGATGCTCGCTCCGTTCCTCACGTTCAAGCAGTAACCGCTGCATTTTGGCAGCTCAGTAACTATTGATGCTCACTCCGCTCCGTTCCCCACACACGCTCGCACACTTTCACACACGTGCACGCACACTACACACGCATGCACATACTTAGATACCCCTATCTCCATACATACTTTGATTCGCTGATGCACTTTCATTTCTCTTGTTTTTTTGTTGTTGTGTTTAATGTGCGCAAGCTCCACTGCAGCCCCTTCATTACATAAAAACCTTACACACGCCATCTTCCAGTGGGTTTTGTCTCTAACGTCGACAATCACTCTTCACATGTACTTGTAGCAGAGTTGGGTGGGTGGGTCTAAAGGTTTCGCAATCACCGTCACCACCATCATTGCCCTTCGCCCCTCCGTCATCATCATCCTCATCATCGCCCTCACTATTGTCACTCTCTTCACCCACCTCCTTGTCATTGCCATCAGCATTCTCTTCATCGTCCCTACCACCATCACCATCAGAGTCCTCCCTTGTCCTCGTTGTCCGGCTGGCCATACTCCGTTTCCTTAGAGGTTGACAATTCTCATGATACGTGTTTGTTCCCGTGAACGTGCTGTTATCGCTGCAGCAGTCTGGACATCTGGGAGTTAGTAAGTATGAGTAATTTTTGTACTCCCGTGGTGTGATTTTTGGCCTGCGCCAAGCACAAGGGGAACCTTCCGCTGAAACAAAACTGAAGAAAATGGTTGTTGTTTGCTCCTGTGATGTAATCTTTGTAGCTCGTCACAAGTAGTTTCTGTTTGGAGCAGAAAAACTAAAATTGACTATTTACTGCTTGGTTGTACCAAGAGTACACAACCAAGAGTGTGCAACTCGACGACCCCCCAGGCCACCGCGGAATTGTTTTATGACATCAGTCTTGGGCGGCTGTTTCGCTCGCTGATGCCGCCATGCGTAGCCTGAGATCAAAGTACAAAGAATCTGTACATCACCGCTAAGGCAATCGAAGCAGAACAACGGACGATAGATCGACGTGTCCTGAACCTGGTGAACTCTCACCGTATCTACAAAATATGAGCGGGAAAGCATACGCACTTGATCATACTACAGCCAAAGAATGACGCAATAAAAAATTCCGCCGTGGGTGAACCCATCGCAGCTCGAGATAGGAGTTGCACACTCTTGGTTATGTACTCTTGGCTGTACTCATGTACTCGTGTACTCAGACATGCAAGTTTACTCGTATTTTAGCTTCTCATATCCTTACTAGTGAGCTACCTGACGTATTATCTTTCTACTCCTCTACTCTAAGTTTGTATCAGCCGCGCATGCATTTCCGTTGTGCTGCTGAGCTTCCCTGTCGTTCCAGTTCGGCGTTCTAGCTTTGATCTTGAAGTCAACAGTTCCCCTTTTGTCTTGTCCTGAACTGCTCTGGTGTGATCATAATATTTGGTGACGAAGTTCTTGATTCAGCTGCCACGATGAGCACAGTAAAATCATTGAACCCGTTTGACCTGGAACCGCCTGAGTCGGTTGGCCCTTGTTGGGAGAAATGGTTGGCTCGTTTCGATAATTATTTGATTGCAGCAAACATCACGGAAGACGAGCGTCAGAGAGCCCAGCTCTTGCCCGGTGGCGGTGAGGACGTGTTTGACGTCTACCTCACCTTTGACAGCAGTAGTATTACAAGGTACAACGACTTGAAGGATGCTCTTACGGCTCACTTCAGTCCGAAACGCAACAGGGAATACGAGATCTACTTGTTCCGTCGTGAGAAACAATCTCAGTCGGAGACCCTTGATAGCTACGTAACTCGTCTTAGGCGTTTGGGCAAGCACTGTCAATTTGCAGATATGGACACAGAGCTAAAGTCTCAGGTCGTACAGCACTGTGTGTCGTCGAAGGTATGTGAAAAGGCTTTCATGGAGAGCAGCATGTCGTTGGCAGACGTCCTTACTTATGCGCGGTCAGTAGAAGTCACGATGTCGTCCGTGGCAGCCATGACCGGGGCCAGCAGCTTCAGCACGCCTGAACAGCCCCAAGTCCATAAGGTGGAGAGGCGACACCCATCAAGTCGTGACAAGCCCAGTCCTTCCAGTAAGGCCGTTCGCAAATGTAGCGGATGCGGGGGGGGGGGGGGGGGGGGGGGGAATGGCACGACAGCCGCTCGGATTGCCCAGCATGGAGCAAGACGTGCAAGTCCTGCAGCAGGTCGAATCATTTCGCAAAGGTATGCCGGACGAAGGCTGTGCGTCAGTTTTCCGAGCAGAGAACCCCTGAGTTCGCATCACCTGACCAGACGGCGGAATACAGCGTGGAGCTGCACCACACCAGTTGCTCTGGTCATGTGCGTTCCAACGTGGATCATTATGTGTAGTGTGAGTCTGGCTGGCACCCCTGTTGTGTTTGAGATAGACACCGGAGCAGCAGTAACAATAATCAACAAAGCGGAGTACCAGACACTGGCGTCGAAAGATACCAAGCAGCTACTCCCCGAATAACCCCGAATGACCTGCCGAGCTGTAGGTCGTATGCTGGCAAGATCATCGCAGTTATTGGTCGTCTCATCTGCAATGCCCGTCTGCAATGCCCGTCATGCGAAGAACTCGGCTCAACTGACCATGTTTGTCGTCGAGGATTCTGGTCCGAATCTGTTGGGTAGAGACGCGCTGCAGACGCTAAAGCTCAACTGGAACCGAGTCTTCAATGTCACCGGAGATCTGAGCAGTGACCTCCTGAGCAAGCATCCTGATGCTTTCAAGCCCGGACTAGGCACCTGGAAGCACGGCAGTGTCAAGCTTGCAGTCGACCGCAATGCTTGACCTCGCTTCCTGAAAGCTCGCTCTGTGCCTTATGCTCTACAGTCTGCCGTTGAGAAGGAGCTGGACAAACTAGTCGATAACAATATCATTCAGCCAGTCGAATTCGCTGAGTGGGCAGCACCGATTGTGCCAGTTCTCAAGAGCAATGGCCAAGTCCGCATCTGTGGTGATTATAAGTGCACTGTTAACCATCAACACCACAAAGGGTCTGTTTGTGTACAACCGACTGCCTTTTGTTGTGTCTTCGGCCCCGAGCATATTTCAATGTACGCTCGACCAATTGCTAGCTGGAATACCAATGGTCGTGATCTACTTAGATGACATCCTTGTCTCTGGCGCAGCTCGTGAAGAACACGACAAACATCTGAACATGGTTCTGGAACGTCTCAACGCAGCTGGATTGCTACCGTCGTCGAAGTGAACTCTCCATCATCGATGGGTGCTTACTGTTGGGGTCTCCCGTTGTCGTTCCGCCCCAAGGCCGAGAAAAGTTACTGGAAGAGTAACATTTCAGCCATCCCAGCATAACCAGAATGAAGTCGCTCGCTCGCAGCTACGTGTGGTGGCCATCGATCGATGCCGACATTGAACTCAAGGTCCGCAGCTGTAAGCCATGTCAAGCAACCCAGAAGTCTCCAGCACTACAGCCATTGCATCCGTGGGAGTGGCCAGGCAAACCCTGGACCCGACTGCACATTGATTATGCAGGCCCTGTGGAAGGCAAGATGCTACTTGTGATCGTCGACAGCCGCAGCAAGTAGATCAACGTGCACGCCGTTCCATCTGCTACGTCGACAGCTACCATTGGCAAGCTTCGTGAGTGTTTCGCTACACATGGTCTTCCGCAACAGCTTGTCTCGGACAATTGCTCAGTGTTCACCAGCTCGGAATTTCAACAATTCTGCTCAAGTAACGGTATCAAGCATACATTGGTTTCACCCTACCACCCAGCAAGCATTGGTCTTGCTGAGCGAGCAGTTCAAATAGTCAAATCCGGCTTGAAGAAATTGCCAGGTGCTGGTGGAGACCTAGTGTCACGGTTACACCGCTTTCTGTTTCATTATCGCTTAACGCCTCAGTCAACAACAGGCCAGTCACCATTTCAGCTGTTTATGAACCGCACGCCACGTTCTCGTCTTGACCTGACGTTTCCAGATACATCAGCACGGGTCTTGAACAGGCAAGGTGCCGCTGTTGACCGTTGCACAGCTCGGGTGTCGGATCTCTGTTGTGGTGATGCTGTTCGGGTGGTTAACTCCACATCTACACCTAAATGGATGCCTGGTGTGCTGGAAGAATGTCTTGGTCCAGCCACGTTTACTGTACGTCTTGATGATGGTCGCATTTGGAAGCGCCATGCTGATCACATTAGACGCCGTCTTCCGTCCGAGGGAGGATAAATGCTACCCGAGAGTGCAGGCATATTCGACCGGTCATCACCATCATCAACTTCAACTTTGGCAACTGCACAGCCGCCGTCACATGCAGATGCTGAATCACCACAGCCGCCGTCACAGCCAGAGGTTGCCGCCAGCCGCCAGAATGTGGAATCAACATCACTGTCCTCTTCTGCATCTGCTGCACCTTCTGCTGAATCTTCTCACAACTCAGTCTTCTGCTATCTCTGTTAATTCTCCTAGCTCTAATCTGCGCAGGTCTACACGCTCAAGGAAGTCCCCTGATCGTATGAACATGTAACTACAGACCTGCTGGGTTTTGCGTTCAGCTCTCTGTTCATATTTGCAGTTCCTTAGTGTGTTGCATTGAACTCGCTTCTCGTATCAACAACAAATTATAGTGAACTGATTTCTCATACTATTGCTTTATGTGTTCCTCATCTAATAATGGTGGAGGGATGTCATATCCTTACTAGTGAGCTGCCTCACGTGATAGATCATTATCTTTCTACTCCTCTACTCTAAGTTTGTATCAGCCAACGCATGTGTTTCCGTTTTGCTGCAGAGCTTCTATGTCGTTCCAGTTCGGCGTTCTAGCTTTGATCTTGAAGTCAACAGTTCCCCTTTTGTCTTGTCCTGAACTGCTCTGGTGTGATCATAATAAGCTGTTTGGCCCGAATGGATGCTGCTCTGCGGCCCTTGGTGAACATTACCTCTGCTCGTGGAGCAGCTGAAAAGGACAACTGGAATGTCTTGTTCCTGATTTGAAAGTGGGCAGACGACTTTCGTGCCTTGAAAAAGGAGTAGAGAGCTGCAAAGGTACGTCTGTAGCTGATGTTTGAGTGCTCGTTGAACATTTTAAAGAGAATTTTCTATTTTTTCAAGACGATATTTGTTCATTTCTCCCCAGACCCCCTCCCTCCCCCCTCAAAACGAACATACACATGTTTATGCAAGGAATCGATATTTTTTAATGAAGTTCAATTTCCTCATGAAACGTGACCAGCTGCCACTCTAATTTCACCGTGCACCTAGGTTTATGTTGCCACGGTCGCACAACCTTGCCATGGCTATGCTCACGAGGTTGACTTTCACTTTGTGTAGGTCATAAACTACATGTTCAAACAGCGCCGGTCCATAGATAGAGTTCGATATTTGTTCTGCAAAGACGAGACGAACAGGGCCCAAACCTCCTCCCCCCCCCCCCCAAACGAACGAATATCTTCTCTAAAAAAACATCGATATTTGTGGACGACCCATAATAGAAAATTCTCAAACCAAACGGTCAGCGCGACGGTGGGCGTACAGTTTTCTTGTGGATTTTTTAGTTGTTTCGTCTCGTAACTATGTCAGTATCGTGATGTTGAAGTGGACAAGATGATTCTCTTCATCTAGGCCGCTCCTTCGGCCGACTTTGCTTCGTCCCCGTTGAAAGGTGATGCGGAAAAGAGGTCGATTCGCAAAGGTATGCTGGTTTTCAATGTATATTATGGCGACATGCGGTTGCTGGCTATGAAATCTTGGTGCCAATGCACTGCTTCCACTGTGCCATTCTCATTGATTACCAAAAAAACTTTTAGATTGAAGACTATGCTGAATACTATCAGGAGAGGGCTTGAAAGCCAAGTAGCCCTCGCTATGCTTTGTGTTTACCTAGGTCATCAAGTGTGTTATTGGAATTGATAGAAACCTCTTTGCAAAACAAAAGCATGTTGGTTGAATACCTACTGTAATGAGAGAAATTTTCGCTAGAGATTATATTTCGCTATTTTCGCGACCATCACACATTCGCGAATATAGATCGTCGCACACTGCTCTGTACATTGACTGCGGACCGTACAAGATCCAAATGAAGAGATAAAATCGCAAACGTTTCTCGTCATGAACGAACACAATTCTTGAAAATGCGAACTTTGCGCGCCGCAAAAATTTATTGCTTTACTGTATCAATAAAAGAAGAACAACAACAACAAAAGCATGTCCTCGCTAATCAGACACGTACATTTTATCAAGTAGGCATATTAGAGAGGTTCTGCAAAATGAAAATGCGTACAAACTTTCGCTCTACGTCATGAAGTGCGAAACTTCGCACGAACTTTCACAACTTTGGGCGCGAAAGTCGCAGAGAACGCGAAATGAACTTTCGTAGGAAATTTCGTGAGATCGGGTCATGGCGTACATGCACCTGGCCCGTGCAAACTACGAAAATGTGCAGAACGCAAAGTTCGTGCGAAAATTTGTACACACTTTCGCAAGGACTGTCGCGAAACTTCGTTCGAATTTTCGTTTTGCAGAACCTCTCAATTATACTACGCTATGGTGCTAGCTTTTTTTAAATTACGAAACACATAACCTGAGATTCGAAACCGCACTATCGCCCTGCATGCATTCTCTCAATACACTTCGCATGCGTATACACACATTCTATCAAATTGCTTCACATTATGATCCTGCCATTGACAGCCCTATTTGAGTATGTGGCCAGCTTTTTTTGACGGTACAGTAGGGGAAATTTACGGAAAGCTCGCCAAACACACACACACGCACACACACAAACACAAACACGCACACACACACACACCTCAGACCTCAGACATGCCCATTGCGGGAGCGATGATAGCGAACAGCTATGTTAGACATAGCAACTTGTGCTGGGATTACACCATTCAACAGCTTGCAAGGCTGATGAATTAACCGCCACTATTTTTAGCCTGGTATCCACCACACAGCTGTTTGAAGTGACTTTTTCTGGCCAGTGAATCCCTATTTTTCATTTTTCCATTTTAACACGCATGCACTCGCTATTGCAGACCAGTGGAGAGCACACATCATATGGAGGATTCATGGAGTGCTGGGCAACCGAATCTGGCATGTGATAATCATGTAGGATAGTCCACGCACGAGGTACAGCCCATGAAATGGGCACCCATGAACTGGGCGGAGTGTGGACGGCCTGTATGATAGTGTGTATGTATGTCCACGCACAAAGTGCAGCCCATGAGATGGGCGCCCATGAAATGGACGGAGTGTGGACGGCCCACGCACACGAGGTGCAGCCCATGAAATGGGCACCCATGAACTGGGCGGAGTGTGGACGGCCTGTATGATAGTGTGTATGTATGTCCACGCACAAAGTGCAGCCCATGAGATGGGCGCCCATGAAATGGACGGAGTGTGGACGGCCCACGCACGAAGTGCAATGCCCGTTAGGAGGCAGGAGTGTGGGAGTATGTGTGATGGCCGAAGGCCGTGATAATTGCCAGATGAGAGGAGATAGCTGGC